GTGGAACGCGTCCACCCGAGTGAGCTCACAAGAAGTTGTTGTCGCGTGACCCCGAGTTGAGCCACCCATGGCAGTGCCGCGACCCCGAGTTGAGCCTCCCATGGCCGTGCCGCGACCCCGGGTGGCCCCACTGTGCATATGTATATCTGGAACGGCAGCACCAATCTCCACTCGAAGGCTCGTCCTCGCTTGGTGCATGCCCGTCCGCGTCGTGGTGGTCCACCTGGACTCGCTATGGATGCGCCACTTTAGCGACACGTTGGCAACCTCATACGGAGTATCATTTAACAAAGACCCCTATATATTAGAAGTTGCCATAGTTGGAACTCATATACGATGTATGGCTTATACATGCATTGGGGCCACAATCTTTTTTCTTGTAGCAGTGCATGTCGAAGCTTGTCATAGGGGTACTATGCCTGAATATGCACCACCATTCCTTTCGATATCATCATACGAGTCAACAAAAACGGTCTGCGCGAGGTTAAGTTCCGGCGACGCTTGGTCCAGACAAATGCCAATGCGAGCACGAACGTCCCAAGTGAAAAACTCCGACATGTCCTCTTCTGGATTTAATTGGTGGGGCAATGACGACATATGTCAGAGGTACCACATGGAATATATCACTTTGATAGGGTATCCATCAACGCGTTGTGCCAGGCAAGCTGATTTCGGAACTAACAGTCTGTCGCCTTTGCGAAACAATAAATACGTTTCTGTGAGTTTACTTTCGTCCGCCGAACCGAACCCACACATAATGCATCACGTGCTGCCACTCCGTCCAACTCCTCAAGCGCGGTTGAAACCAAAAGTCAACTCCAAGCGCGTGGCCCCCCCCCCTCCAACGCTTAACAATGCCGACACCCTGTTGCCGTAAGCGAGGTACCATATAGGAACAAGGGTAGCAAACCCATCATTTGCCTGTTTATGCATGTTTGTGGAGTCCAAGTTGGAAATGGCGTTTAGTATGTCAGTGTAGTTTGAACGTGAGATGTGTATGATCAATCCATTTACATTCGTTTTCAACGAGACATCTCAAGTCGACTGCGCAATTTCAATTTACATGTCAGTGCGGCAATGCAAGATCAAAGCGTGACTGTACAGTACAGTCTTGCTGCCATCAAATCGGTCGACCTGGTACTCACAATTCCGCTCGGGGATTTATGCTTTCACTGACTGTGGTTAATGATAACTGAGTACTGGCGATGCAAAATAGCCCTGAGAATAGGCATTACATGTATATTATATATATATGGGTTTCTAAGCTGAAGTAACATACAGTTCGTGGGCGGGGTCGAGTCATGATTAGCTAACCACAAACAAAACGTTTCATGCAAATCAAATTGAGAATCCAAGTACACTTCCTTGGTCATCATTCTACGCAACTTCCTTGACATCGCCGCGGCAGTGGAAGTACTGGGCGAGGATATCTTGCCAGTGCTCGATGCGGACGGGATTGGCCCCACTTTTGATGTCCTGCAACAGGGCAAACGACTTGGACGATCCTGTGATGTGCCACTCGGCTTTGAACTCTGGCGTAAAGTCCGCGACGGACCCCGGCAGGCAGTTTTCCTGCAGCAACAAGTTCATCTTTTGCACCTCCAAGTACGCTTCGTCCGTGGTCAGTCCCTGGCTGTCGGCTTGGGCGAGGACGGCGTCTTCGAACGCCAGCACTTTTTTGTTTTCAGCCAACACGACTGGCTCGACGACGTGGTCAATGGTCACGTTGGCATGACGCACTTCTCGAACGCTCTCGATGCCACGGGTGGAGCTACTACTGCTTCCGCATGTGGTGTACATGTCCCCCAGCAGTCCCTTCACAACAAACGAGTAGCCCAATTGACGGGTATCCGTGAGTTTGTAGTACTGCGTGGGCAAGTCCTTGAAGAACGACCCAATAAGCGGGTCGTTGGCCACTTCAATCGTTTGGCCCGAAACGACAAGTCGCATGCGAAGGGAGGACGTCGGCCCGACGGTTTCGCCGTTGCTGGTGGAGCAGCCCTGGAACGACCGGGCGTCGTTTTGCTGCTGCAAGTCGCTCAAGTTGGCCGGCTCGACTTTGCAGTGGTAGTAGATGGTATGCAGCAAGTCGATCGTATTGTGGTGCATGAAAAAGATGGGGTCCATGGGGGAGATCTGGGCGTTGGCCATCGGACCGTTCAGCGTGTTGTGGAGGATATTGTGGGGGGAGCTTTCAATGTTGCGCGACACGGTTAGGATGTTGGAGCCCCCCAACACGCTTTGGCGAATGTTGGCAATCCCCATGTCTGAAACCATGGCTGTTTTAGCCCAGTTGCCGCGAGGGGTGCATTTCGGACAAGAAGCAGAGCCAGGGGTAGTGCACATGTGGTTCACAGGACGTTGGTTGACGCAGCGGTTGCTCGCATACGTGTAGCCAAAGAAGGAGGCGCTGGAAGTTGAGCCTTGCGTGGAGCCCCCCAATCCAGTCGCAATGGGGGCGCAGGTTTCAATCGAGGTACATCG